ATGGTCACGCTTGAGCTCTGACTCGACGGCGCCGCGCGCGGGGGCAAGGGCAATATACGTAACCTTAACATTTGTACCCCCATAATATGCTGAAATAAAAAAAATGGAAAAAATAAAATAAAAAGGAAGCTGAACATAAAAATTTGAAAAATTCTCAGCCTGGCCATGTATGTGGTAGAGAAGGAAAGAACGATTTCAGGAGAGGAATCCAAGAATGTTGGGGAGAAACCACTTGCTAGAGAGATTAGCATGGATAAAAGGGAGCCAGGTGCTATCAGTCAAGACAAAGGGAAAAAGGCATTCCGAAAGCATTTCAGAAACCTTTGAGGCAGCCACTCCCATCACAGGCTCAGAGGTGTAGGAGGACAGAATGGTTTCTAGGGAAAGGTCTAGGGCACTACTCCCTGAATCCTGGTTGCTCTGGCTTCAGCAATAGCTCCAAGGGCCCCAGGTACTGTTCAGGCTGCCACCGAGAAGGGTGCCAGCTGCAATCCTTGGTGGCTTCCACATAGTGTTGAGTCAAGCATGCAGAATGCAGGATGGTGGAGGCTTTGCAGCTGCCAGCTAGATTTCAGAGGATGTATAGGAAAGCATGGGTGGCCAAGCAGAAGCCTGCTACAGGGACAGAGTTGCCACAGAGAGCCTCTACGAAGGCAATGCTGAGCAGAAATGGTTGGAGCTCCTTACAGAGTCCCCACTGGGACACTGCCAGTGGAGCTATGGTAGTAGGGCTGCCACCCTTGGGAACCCCAGAATTATACAGCTACCAGCATCGTGAAACCTTTACCTGGAAAGCCTCTGCCATTGAACTCTAACCACTGAGAGCAGCCATGTGGGCTGAGCCCAGCAAAATGATGAGGTTAGGGCTGTGTCCAGCAAAACGATGAGGTTAAGGCTGCTTGAGGCCTGGGGACCTCACTTCTCACACCAGTTTGCCCAGGATGTGGGACATGGAGTATTGGGAGATTATTTTGGAGCTTTAAGATTTAACGTCTGCCCTGCTGGGTATTGGATTTGCATGGGGTCCGTCACTCCTTTCTTTTGGCCAATCTCTTTCTTTGGGAATGGGAATGTTTACCCAACATCTGTTTCTCCATTGTATCTTAGAAGTAAATAACTTATTTTTGATTTTACAGGCTTGCCTTGGGTAAATCAGGAACTTGCCTTGAGTCTCAGATGAGATTTTGGACTTGGAGTTGGTGTTTGGAAGAAGACTTCTGGGGACTATTGGAAAAGGATGATTGTATTTTGCAACATGAGGAGGACAGTGAGTTTCGGGGGGCCAGGGGCAGAATGCTCTAGTTTGGGTATTTGTCCCCTGACAAACTGCATATTGAAATTTGATGCCAGTGTTGGGGGTGGGGGCCTAATGGGAGGTGTTCAGGGTCATGGGGGCAGATCCCTCATGAATGGCTTGGTGCTGTCCTTGCAGTAATGAGTCAGTTCTCACTCTATTAGTTCCCTTGAGAGCTGGTTGTTAAAAAGAGCTTGGAACCTCCTCTTACCCTTGCTTCCTCTCTTGCCACATGAACTCTGCACATGTCAGCTCCCTTTCCCTTTCCATTATGAGTGGAAGCAGTCTGAAGCCATCACCAGAAGCAGATGTTGGTGCCATGTTTCTTGTACACCTTGTACACCTCAGAACTGTGAGCCAAGTAAACCTCTTTTCTTTATAAATTACTTAGCCTCAGGTATTCCTTTACAGCAGCCCAAATGGACCAAGATAGGCAATATATATATATATATATATTTTTTTTTTCATTTATTTATTGTCTTTCTCCATTTGGAATGAACTTTGCAAGGCAGGCATTCATTTTTGTTTACTACTGTATTCACAGAGTATAGGACAAAGGATGGCATTTAGTTAAGTGCTCAATAAATATTTGTAAATGAATGAATGATGATTCATATTTGACACACAAGAGGCCCATAATAACTATTTACTAAATGAATGAACACATTAATATTCTAGAGATTATTCCCAGGAAGGGCACTGATAATAGGGGTTGGGGGAAGAAACCAGGACATGTGCCACATGGGGTACCTGTCCTCTGAATGATGGTTTTCTCTAAATCTTTTTCTTTATGGTCATTTTGTATGGCTTGTGGGCCTACTTTTAAGTAGTTCACACGGTGTTTCTTAAACCTCAGTGATCAGCAGAACTATCCACAGATTCTTACTTAATGGACCTGAGGTAGGGCTTGGGAATATGAGTAACTTTAAGCAAGGATTTAATCCTCAGTTTCCTCATATGAAAAATGGGACTGTAATACCATCTTCATAGGGTATAAGGATTAAAATGAATAATCTCTGTGAAGTGTTTCACACATAGCAAATACTAGATTTCCTTTGCTTCTGCCTAGGTTTTCTCTAAAGTTTAGAAGTTAAATTCTTACAAATAAGTCATGTTACTTGCCCTTCTAAAATTTACTTTTGATTTCATTTCAGTACAGATCTCTACTTTGAGTTACAGATTTATTTTTGAAATATATACTCAGCAATTTCACTTGGATGTCTCATAGGGATAATAAACTCAACATATCTAAATCTACTCAAAGTTGTCCTTTCTGATCTCTTCCTCCACATTCCCCAGGTTAGTGAATGGAATAAATTCAAGCTAGAACTCAGGAGTCATTTTTTTTTTTTTTAATGATAGCATATTGTATCTTAGGAGTCATTTTTTTGACACTTTTTCCTCCTTCACTTTCCAAATGCAGTTGATCAAGTCCTTACAATTCTAACCCTGATCTTTTTCTTTGATCCACCATCTTCTCGTAATCTTCACTCACTGCAAACTGGTCTTCACACATCCTCTGCTGCTCCCTTCTTATCCATTCTCCACTCTGCAGCCAGAATAATCTTTTACAAATACAATTCTGATCATGTCCAGATGGACCCTCTCCAACAATTCAGTGGCTTCCCTTTGTCTTTAGGATCAATTCCAGGGTCCTCAGCATGACCTTCAAGGGTCCGCCCACCTCTCCTTCAGAACTAGCCCTTTCAGTCTAACCACAGTGGCCTTTTCCCAAGGCCTTAACAGGCTGAGCCCTTCCTACCAAAGGGCCTTCAGACCTGCAGTTTCCACAGCTAAGTGCACTCCCCACCCCTCCCCCTGCTCTTTGTTGCCTGCCTTCTCCTCCTTATTCTTCAATGCTCAGATTAAATGTCACTTCCTCAAGGAGATCCTTCTTACCCCTTAGAGCAGAAAGTTCCCTTTGTTACACACTCCCATAACTCCCAGGCCTTTTTTCTATCAATCATCAAAATAGTGATTACTACACTGTCTCATCCTAAGCCACTTGCTTCACATTTTAAGTTGCCAGCTGTCAGACAGAAGATGGAAGTAGAAACATGATTGTTGTTGCCTGCACACATTAGAACCTAATTTTTCAGAAGGGGCTATTTCCTCACCTGATTTCAACTTGAGTTATTTTTAGGGCTGAAATTTAAATTTGGATTCCAACTTGAAGCTTAACATATTTCAAAAATATACACCGCATCGTGGCATACAGAACAAAGAATGAAAGTAGAAGGTTGTCTGCCACATGTCAACTAATGAGATGAAACCATCATCTTTCTCAGAGAAAACTGTGGTAGAATTTTGAAGTCTGAAAGGTTGGTCTCTTTTATACATGCTTCATGTAGAAATCTTGAAGGACTCCATGACCTTGGAGAGGAACACCTATGGGCTGGAACTTCTGGCAAACTTACAAGAGCAGCTAATTACTTTCTAGCGATATGTAATTCAAAAAAGAATAAGAACAAAAACCAGTTGGAAATGCAGTCAAAACACTGCTTTTCCATATTCCTTGCAGTTATACTTTCATTTTAGGCAGTGAAAAACACCAGAATAAAAAGCATTACTGCAGGTGGCCAAGAGTGATACAGAAGCACTCTGCCTGGAAGGTGAAGGTTAAAGCTCAAAGTCTGATGGCAAATGCAGAAGGAAAAAAACTGGATAAATGTATGCTGGTGTCCTTTAGTACCACAAAAGCTGCTACTAAATAAATCACTGGTGTGACTTGGAATTGGTGGAAGCTGTAATTTGAGGAAAAGAGGCACTGGCTGTGTACTAGTTAAAATGACAGTCTTCCCCTCAGAATAAGTGCCTGAGGAGAACGCTTTTGCTGTGTTCACAGGAGTATCCCTGGGGCATATCTCGTTACCTGAACCATATACAATAGGCGCTCAATAAATAGTTCTTAAATAAAATAAATGAGCTATTAGACTTCCACTGCAGACTTTGGTCCAGTTTTACTTAGGTTTAAAAGCAAGTGTGGGCAAACTTGAAAAGCCTGGCACCCCAGCCAAGTCCTCAGAGCCCCATGGACTTTGCTCCTGCTACTCCCCCCACCGGGAGGGTGCGACGGGGTGCTCTAAACCTACCCCTAAGCGGTGGTCCACCCTCGGCCCTCTCAGCCCTGGCTCACGCACCGCCCACACTCTGCCGATCGCCAAAAGGCATGTGCCTTGGTTTTGATCCCAGGCTGGAAGAAACAGGAACCCAGCCAAAAGGAGGCCCGTGGTCTGAGAACACGAATCATGAGTCATGGATTCGGGGTTCGGACCTTGCAGCAGCGGGTGATGTGGCTGTGCGTGGGTTGGCGGGGAGGAGGGCTGCTGAAGGAGGCCACAGCCTTTCTCTCCAGGGCAGGCTTCCCTGAAATCTGCCCTCTTGCTCTCGTCCAGCCCGCTCCCGGCAGGAGTCCGTCACAGCGCAGCCAAGGGTCTGGGAGGCGCGGCGCCCAAACTCCGGGTCGCCGCCCCGCGGCCACATCACCAGGCCTGGGCTTCCCCTCGGGCGGCGGCGCGGCTGCGCCTGCGCGTGGCGGCCGCGCGGGCGGGGCGGGCGGCGGGAGCGGAGCGGCCGCGGGCGCCGCCCCGGGCTGTCAGCGCGGGGCTGCGACCGCGTGAGGAGGCGCGCCAGCACGAAGGAGCCGCGGGCTGGCGGCCGCCACCGGAGCCCGGGGACGAGGTGAATGCCCTTCCATCCCCTGCCCCAGGTGTCTCGCTCTGGTCTGAGGAGATGAGGTCCCCTCTCCTCTCACCCGCCGCCGCGCTCGGGGCAGGTGATAATGGAGGGAAAGTCTGGGCTTCGGCCGCGGCGCCGCGCTGGAGCGCATCCCAGGTAGTGGAGGGAAGTGGGGCGGGAGCCGGGCTGGGACCGGCGGCGGGACTCGGGAGGGCGAGGGCGGTAGGGGCGGTGGGCGCGGCCCCGCCGGAGCCGCCGTGCCCACCGCCGTGCCCGCCCGGGCCCTTCGCGGCGGCGGGCAGCGCCCAAAGCCGGCCCGCGCGCCCGCCCCAGCTCGGGCTGAGGGGAGGCTGCCCCGGCGCCGGAGCAGAGCCGGCCACCTCGGGCGAATGGTCCCGGGCGCTGGGGACGGGCGGTGGCAGAGCGATCGGTGGAAGGTGAGCCCAGATGGAGATGCTGCTGAGGCAGGCTCCGGCACACCCCTGATTCCTGCTTCAGGGCTCGGCAGTTGCCTTCATCCCCGTGTTCTTTCATTCTTTTCCTTTTATATGTATGGAATATACCTCAATTTTAAAAGTCCAAATGTGCATTTATAAAAAGAGATGACACGAATGCATTTATTACTTATATACATTTATATGTATATTATGTATGTCATCTTTTTTGTAAATGAGCAATTTTAAAAATTGAAATCTAGATCACATACCTTAAAACATCCTAAAGTGTGGCTTTTAGTATATTCCCAAAGTTTTGCAACTATCACCACTATCCAGATCATCATCCCCCAGACACCCTGTTTCTCTTAGCAATGACTCCTTATTTTCCTTTGACCCCTCCCCCTGGCAAACACTAATCTAATCTACTTCTTGTTTCTGTGGATTTGCCTGTTGTGGAAATTTCATATAAATGGAAGCATAGGCTATGTGGCTTTTTGTGTCTGGCATCTTACACACAGCATAGTGTTTTCAAGGTTCATTCATGTTGTAGCATGTATCAGTACTTTTATTTTTTAATAGCTGTTTAATATTCCGTTGTATTGGTGTATCACAATACCACATTTTATTTATCTGTTCATTAGTGGATGGGCATTTGGGTTGTTTCCACTTTTTGGCCATTGTGTATAATACTGCTGTGAACATTTGTGTACAAGTTTTTGTGTGGACATATGTTTTCAATGCTCTTGGGTATATACCTAGGAGTGGAATTGCTCTATGTTTAATTTTTGGAGGAACTGCCATGCTTTTCTAAGCAGCTACATCATTTGACATTCCCACCGAGTAGTGTATGTGATTTCTTCACATTCTCACTAACTCTTGTTATTTTCTATTGGCTATTTTTTATTGTAGCCATCTAGTGGGTGTGAAGTGATATCTCTTTGTGGTTTTAGTTTGCATTTCCCTAATGACTAGGGATGTTGCATATATCTCTTTATGTGCTTATTGGCCATTTGTATATTTTTGAAGAAATGTTTATTGAAATCCTTTGCCCATATTTAAATTGGGTTATTCGGCTTTTTATTGTTAAGTTTTAGTGTTCACTGATAGAAAAATATTCTAGGTTGAGGTACTCACACTGATTAAATAAACCCAAATCAACCTGATATCAAAAAATGTAATGTTTATACTTGGATAATGGTTGAATAAGTGCCATGTGAGTCTTTCAGAATACCCTGCCTGTTAATTCTTGGGCATCTTACTTCCCCTTTCCATTTTCTGGTATCTTGAGAAAAGCCACAAAAGGGGTGTTCCTGACAGAGTCAAGGGAGACTACCCATAGTTGGCATTTTCATATAGTCTATGCTCAGTTTGAAAAGTCCCAGTATCACTTTAATTACAAATAATTTATGTTGTTGGCTAACTAAACAAACTAATAATAAATGGCAAGCACAAACTACTCAAAATTTCATATGCTTCTCAGCAAAGTGAAGGATAGTATTTTCATAAGTTTGTATAGTTTTATTACAATTATGTTTGTAAGTGGGTGGGTAAATAAATATTTTTTTATGGCGTTGAAGTTGAGAGCTACTTACAGCCAAATGAGTGCTGCTATGCTTATTTCATGGTTAGTTTCTGAGTACACACAAATTTAGCATCAGGTCTTTCATAGCAAAAACCGCTTAAAAAGACATGACACTTCTCAGGAATTCAAGCTCATTTTTACATTGAGCTAATATGACTATTGTTAAGGAAAAAAATTATTCAATGATACTTGTTAAAGCACGGTAAGAAAGACTTTATTTAGGACCACTATAGTATGTGTAGGGACCATGGAATGGGATTTTACAGTGAGGGAGAGAGACTAGGCTCAACTCTGAATACAGCATGAGCAAGTAGGAATTATAGCCAAGAAGCAAGATTGGGGTCAGTGGACAGAAAACTACTCAGGAGAAACATAAGGGTTAATGGGTATTTAGGCCAAACCAACCTAACAGGATTCTTTGGAAAGCAGGCTAAGGTGATCAAACATCACCTGGGAGATAGTGGAAGATGAGGAACCTCAGCAGGTATCTGAGCATGATCAGATAGCAAGGGTGAGGGGTTCTTGCTAAACTGATTTAGTAGGGTTTTTTGCTAAAACTGCATTTTATAAGGAAGTGCACAGATGGGCCTCAGAGAAGGTTCAGGAGCCCTGACTAAAGTTTGGTCAAGCAAAGGATCTTTGTTACTGTTTAAAAGTATACTACCAAATTTCAGAAACTTTATAGAAAATAAAATTAAGGATTTCCATATTGAAATGATGGATAAGCAATGGATTAAAATGTGTGAAATGCAGCCTAATCCTGCTCTTCAACCTGTAAATTATAACACAATGGAAACATGATTTAATCCTTTTATGTCTCATTGCCTTTATTAGAAAAATGAGGCTGATAATTTTAGCATATAACCTGAGTGTATTTTTGTTTTGTTTTAGCTAATAAAATTATCATCAAATATATTGAAAATTTAAACTATCCAACCTAATATTGATTGTTACCGACTTACCTGTTGGATGTACAAATATCCTACAACAACAGATACTTTCCCAAGTTGTCCTTGTCTGCCCCTGGAGTTTTTAGTGCCATTTATTGAGAAAGACTGAAAGTGGGAAACAGTGAAAATTGGGAACAGCCATGGGGGTATGCCCCCTGGCAAATGATGGTCAGAGCTGACCTGCCCCCTTTATGGTAGACTTACCGGGATCCCTCATCTTTTCTCTGAAATTACTGTAGTAAGATTTATTTAGCTTAAAACTATATAGAAGTAACAACTATGGAAACATATATGTGGAAATGGCTAAAACTGTCAGTTATTCTATTTTAATGTGAAAGGATTTAGTCAGATTACTTTCTCCTTGATCCAACTACACTGAGGAAATGGGAGTTTTGACTTGAGAAGGGATAGGAGAGGTATGTATTATGGGATCGTGGAACATTTTGGAAGTTTGGACAAAACTTGCCCAAAATCATGGATGTTGAAAGTGGAGGACTTAGATGGCATGATGGGTCTGGAAGATGAGAAAAAGCAAAGCAAGAATGAAACAGTTTGGAAGGAAAAGTTGTAGGATATAAAGACAGAATCAACTTATTTAGCCGTGTTGCCCAAGAAGAATGTCTAAATAGGAAAAGTGGAAGAAACCTCCTTCATTTGATTTCTCTTCCTTTTTGGCTCACCTTATTCTTCCTCACTGCTCTCCTAGGACCTAGAAATCAAACTGGGATTACTCTTGTTCATGTTGAAGCTTTTCAGGGGGCTAATTATACCTCTTCTCTCTCCAGGTTCTGTTCAAATTGAGATCAGATTCAAGAAGTCAAATGGGGGTTAAAATACTATTAAAATAATAGATTGATTTCCATTTCTGGTAAAGCTGAGTACTCAGCTTAGATCTGTGCTTACTCTGTTCCTTCTTAATTTAGAACTGTAGGACCTAAAACAAGTCAGGTGTCTCTAGCCCAAGGGAAAGTCCTGTCCTAAGGAGCTTACCTGGTAAGAATTGAAATGGAAAGGAAAACTTTCTTTCCTTGAGGGCATGCCAGTCCAAGGGAGCCAGTGCCTGCCGCTGGGGTGGAGCCTATCTGCCATCTGGAACATTGACCTTTGTCCCTGTTTTAGAATTAGATAAGTCACTTTACTGTAGGAAGAACTAGGGATAGAAAAGTGTTCCTTTAAGCCTGTTTTCGCCTACTTACAGAAGTGAGAGTTCCATCCTCATTGGTCATTGCAGAGAGTGAAATAAGCACCCATACTCTCATCCTTAAGTGTGTTGTGTGTAGCCTAGTGTTTTGTAGGCTAGCCTAGAAACTTAGTCACCATTTGTAAAAAACAGATAACTAATATATTTTCCTTGGAAATAACCATCTTAAAAGTGGGTGATCATTTTATTGTGTGATTAAATATATAGATTATTCAAGTCGATTTCCTTGTTTTACTCCTCAAATATTTATTGAGTGTCTCCTATGTAGCAGGCACTGGGCTAGGCCCTGGGGATTCAGTGGTGAACAAGAATGGGTACTTGCTCTAGGAGTTCACAGTCTAGAAAAACAATTAGTGCAAGTACAGTTACAATAAAGCGTAACTATTGGTTAAGTGTAATTTGGGAACACAGAGGAAGGGGAACTAATCTAAGAGGGCCTCTTAAACATCAAATGATGTTTAAGAGCTGAGATCATAAGTAGAATAGGAAGTTGCCAGGTAAAAGAGAAGACTGAGGATCAGGCAAAAGAACATGTGGAAAGACCAAGAAGAAAGAATGAGAATGTGGTACTCTAAAGTATTTTTTAAACTGCAGGCACCTAGTAGTGGATTGTGAAATCAAGTTAGTGGGTTGTGATCAGCGTGTCTTGAAAAAGACGTAGAAAATAAGAGTTTGTCACACATAGATACTTACTAGATTATATGGGTACGTGGGAGTGTTTATGCAAGACTTAGTTAACCTTATTAAAGAATTTGGATTTATCTTAGAGGAAATAGGAAGCCATTGAAAAGTTTTAATCAGGGCCTGATTAGATTCATATTTTCTAAAGATCCCTTTAGGTACCTGGTCTTTCTTAACTCAAATGTAAACTTCCAAGTCCTTGGCCCAGTATTACAGGTATTCCAAAACTCAGTTCCAATCTATTTCTTTTATAGAATCTTCCAGTGGGAGGATTCCTTGTTTGCCCAAGTATTAGTACCATTGCACCAAGACCAAAACGTTTGTGAGAACAGACCTTGATTCTGTCCTTTCACATTGAATCTTTGGCAACTAGCATAGCGCCTGGTTCACAGTAGAGACTAAGCAAATCTTTGTTGATAGAGTCTAAATATCTTTAATATTGGAAGCGTTACATAGTACCGTGTTTCTCCGAAAATAAGACCTACCCATAAAGTAAGCCCTAGCAGGATTTCTAAGCATTTGCTCATATAAGCCCTACCCCGAAAATAAGACCTATGATGGGTGTGGCTACGCAGAGTATCTGCACAACCCATGCATTTCATCATGGAGCAGTAAAGACCAGCAGCCCTTCTCATCTGCCCCATGAGAGCTGTATTGCTCGACATGAGAGATTGGGGCCAATGGTTCTAAAGGAAATAGAATCATAAGAAATTCAGGATGGAATTCGGGATTTGGAGAGTTATGATGATGTTCCAGAAGAAGATGACTTAAGTATATTTGAATAAATGTAGATTGTTGTACCATACTTAAAAAAATAACACACATGCCCTGAAAATAAGCCCTAGGGTGTCTTCTTGAGGAAAAATAAATATAAGACCCTGTCTTATTTTCGGGGAAACACGGTAGTATAAATGACTTTGCCATTTCTAGTAATATTCATTCACTTTTGGACAAAGAAAAACATTTCTTTTTTTAGAATTTTTTTTCACTTGAAATATTAGTGATAGAACTATATTCACTTACTTTAAAAGGCAATTTGGCAAAATACATTATATTAAAGCAGTAGTAGAGATAGTAAAAAGAACAATAAAGTTTCTGGTTTTGAAGTTTCTCCTCCCAAGAAGTCAGGGCAATGACACAAATTATTCCAGGAGTAAGCAATCAGCAATCATTTATATTTTGTTTGAACATATAGGCATTCTCTCACCAAAAGGCAATTTTAGAAAATGGCTGAGGACAAAGGGAATAAATTAAAATGTATCAATCACATGAGCTTAATGGAGAGTCAACAGAAAATAGATTTTACTCTTAGAAGAAATAAAAATAGAACATCCATATACCCTAAAGAACTTACAAATAAGAGTTTAATGATGTCAGTTTGTTGAAAGAGAATGATTCTACTGTCACAGTATTATGACTTCACAGAATTAAATTGTGAAACCCAACTGTGAAGGAAAAATTCTTTCAGTGTATGGTTCTGATAAGTGGCAAGAGAAGTTATGAAAAATTCATGAAAGGTAGAGAGATTTCAGTTCTGATTCAAATTTATCTTAGTATATATTTGGGATGTGGAAATTTTGCTAATTAGCTGTTTTAGTTAGATTTTATATATCTTAAATGAAAGAATGCTAGAATCAAATTTTACTAATACAGGATGGCTTTTAAGAATACTCATTGAATTTTATATTTTTATGTTCCACAGAGTCCTATTTTAAGCAGTGCATTGTAGAACTAAATTGAAACTATTAACTTGTATAAGTGTAGCATATGGAAATAATTCTAAATATGGGAAAGAATTATGCATAAAGATGTTCATTTTCATTGTAATTTAGTCAAGAAAATATCCTGCTATAAGGAAATTATTTATTAAAATATAGCAATCCATTTGAAGTTTAACCACTAAAAATACTTTTTAGAGCAATGGTTTCCTCCTATTACTTCTTAAATTAAAAAACAAAAAGTGTTCAATGTAAAGAGAAGTTCAAATAATATAAAAAAGTGCAGGATTAAAAAAAGGGAAAATGGTATTTCACATCCTCCTTTTTACTCCCTCCCCAGTCTAGGCAAACCCAGTTCCTACAGGTAAATGCTTTGAGTTTATTTGGTATCTGTCCTTTGAGACCTTTTTTTGACCCAGTGGTTTTCTAACTGTGAGGAGAGGTTTTAGGGACTTTTCAAATTGGGTAAGCTGGGGACTGAGTGGTGGAAACCAGGTCTGTACTTGCTTCCACTAGTACTACTTTGCTTTTACAAATCTGGTTTATATATTAAGATTTTAGATAGGGCTTTATTTAAACAAATTTGCCTCTGAATTAAAAATAAAGGTTCAAAAACAACTGTCCTAATTTAGAAAACAAAGTCCTAAGCCCCTAGTCAGGAATTCCGGTTCCCAGTTTACCATTTTGCTGCTTGGTCATGTGAATCTTCTGCTCAGACCTATCCTTTTCACCATTAGTATTCTGCCTGGTTACTATTCACCTTATTGGAATGCCCTCCTCTTCCTCCTCCTTCTTCCCCCTCCTTCCCTCCTCCTCCTCTTTCCTCCCCCTCCTCCCTCTTCCCCATCCTCCCTCTTCTTCTTTCTTCCTCCCCCATTTCTCTAAATCTTACCTGTTCTTTATGTTTCAGCTCACCATCATTTCATTCATTTCTCCTTTCAACGTATATTTGGTGAACACTTACATTTTGTCCATTACTGAGTGGGGAATATGCAGAATTGTGTATGAAAAGCTCATAGACTAGTAAAGGTGACCTTCATGTAAATAAGTGTAATAATGTATTATACTAGTATGCATTATAATACTATATTAGTATTATAATGTAAGAGCATTCTGGGAGCAGGTACTAAAGTTACAAGTGATCTCTTCTATACTATTTATGGCACTTATAAACAAGGTGATTTATGATGTAATTGTCTCTGGGTCTTCAGAAAATATTTTGTTCATTTATTAATCGAGTAATAGAAGATAGTACAGAGAGTTCACCTGTGAATCTGGGAAGAAGCTGTTTTCGTTCTTGAGCAATCAACTGTTAAAAAATAACTTGAATACAATTTACTGGGTTCCAGTGTTGGGCATGAAGGGACCTGGGAGGGAACACTGGAGAGATCTTGGTTTTTCAGTCTTTGTGCCCGGGGCCACTTACACTGGTAAGTGCTTGTAAGTGTAAGTGCTTGCAGTGGCATCCTTATCATTACCTGGTTCGTTAGAAAGTTGTGAAGTCAAGTCCTATGTCTTTATCTTACTAACTTTATGACTTTGGGCATATTACTTAACCTCCTTGAGACTCAGTTTCCTACATTGCAAAGTATGAACATGCCCATCTCCTAGGTTTTTTTTAAAAAAATTAAATGTGCTAAGTACATTTAAGGTTATTCTTTTTGCTCTAAGTGGTATTGATGTTATGTAGAAAGAGTGATCTATTTTCCTTTAGGTTTAAGTTTTTTAATTTTTTGGAGGATTTATTGATTAGACTCCAGTTCTTTGGAGCTGTGTGGTTTTATTCTCAAAGTGACTTTTTGATAAACTGTTCATATTCCTGATATAAATGAAATCATGGCTGTGAAAAATGGAAGATGGCACAAATGTGAGTTCTCTGAAAGTGTTTAGGATGAATTTATTGATTGAAGGCTGTTGCCTTTTAGTTGTACTGTTCTTATTGGAGAATGTGTGGAAAGGGAGAAGGAGGAAAGAAAACAGAAGAAATTTTAGAGCTCCTAAGAATTTTAGAAATAGAGGACACTGGCAGGGCGTGGTGGCTCACACCTATAATTCTAGCACTCTGGGAGGCTGAGGCAGGCAGATCGTTTGAGCTTAGGAGTTCGAGACCAGCCTGAGCAAGAGCGAGACTCCCCCCCCCCCCACTAAAAATAGAAAGAAATTAGCTGGACAACTAAAAAAATATGTAAGAAAAATTAGCCAGGCATGGTGGCACATGCCTGTAGTCCCAGCTACTCAGGAGGCTGAGGCAGAAGGATTGCTTGAGCCCAGGAGTTTGAGGTTGCTGTGAGCTAGGCTGATGCCACGGCACTCACTCTAGCCTGGGTGACAGAGCGAGACTCTGTCTCAAAGAAATAAAAAAAGAAAAATAGAGGACACTGTAAATAACCAAAAATAACTGTAGAATAAAATTTATTAGGAAATTTTTATTGCTATTTTATGAAATACAAAAAGCAGGATACAAAAAGTATGGATGGTATCAGCCTAGTTTTGTGTAAAATATATATTTGGGAAAATATAATAAAGTTATTATATGTACCAATATGTCATCAGTGATTATTTCTGGATGGTAGATTTCCAGGATAAATAGTTTTTGTTTATTCTTGACTTTTTTCTTTTTTTTATATTGAATATCTATTATGTGAAGAAAAAAAGAATGAAAGAGAACTCTGTGCCAGTAGATATTAAAAACACACTTTGAAATGATCTGGGAAAGAAAGGTAATCAGGACATTTTTATGAGCAAAGACCACTATATGGCAGCTGTATTGGTCTTTGGGCTTGAATTTTGGGTTGGGTAGAGCCCTTCTGAAAAGGACTGCTTAAAAACCACAAAACCACAATATCATTCAAACCTGATATTTGAATAAAAAAGGGCTCAACCCTGACCAAAAGGTTGAAGAGAAACTTGATTGCAGGGAGTAAAGATACTGAACTTAGGTCATTGTTTGAATTTGATGCCAAGATAATTGAGTAATATGACACTGTGTACCTGTAATTTACCTAATCTGCAAATAGTCTCTTCTAGAGAGTTGGTGCACTTAAGGAAAGTGCAGTTTGGGGAAGGTAGAAGATCTGTCTTCATCCCCTTGGGCGGTGCCATTGTGAAGGTATCCCAGCCAGGGAAAGTGATGTTAGGCCCACCGCCTGAGGAAGACCTTGGTGTGGGAGCTGTCCTGCCCTGCCTATTTCATCATCTCATGGAAGGTAATGTGCAGCCAACTCCTGAGGTGTTGCTTCATCCTGGGGATGGGGGGAAGAGAAGGGCCTGTGGGTGAATAGAAGTGCCCTGAGTAAGTATGTGAAATGTGATAGCCATGGAAATTATGGGACATTCTTGGTTTAAAAATGTAGAATAAAAATTATAACTTTAAATGTGGCAAATAATTTTTTCCTTTTACTTTTCTTAAAAAGGAAGTTTTGTTCTTTTTTTTTTTTTCCCCCAGTAGAATCCTATCTCCAGGTTGTTTTTCTTTGAAACATTGACATATTGGCTTCCTTTCTTCTTTTTTCTTAAAAAGATGATTTTTATTTATTTATTTTTTTCCTTTAAACTTTGACCTGTTGGCATCTTTTCTGTACCTTAAAGTTCTGGAAGCTTTTAATTTTTAGTTTAATTATACAGAGTCAAATGTATGTTCTAACTTGGTCCCAGAAATGGGTTTGCATTTTAAGAATTGAACTCTTAAATAAGAGTATAAGAATGTGTTAAGGGTAAAGTATTAAAGTGTACTTATGTATGACTTCTGAACAATTTCTACTTGTTTGAAATGCTGGTGAATTGTAGTTATTTAGTTTCTAAGTTTAGCTATTTCAAATTTATAAGCATCAAACAGGTCAGGAAATGTTTTATTTGTACTCTATCTTGTTACATAAAGGTGTTGAGTCAGCTTATAAAAATACCTACAAGAAATAGTGATTTTAAAATATAGAAGTACAAATTACCAGAGAAAATAAAACTAGAAGTATAATATTAATATTAGATGAATAAACTGATCATCATTTGAGTTTCAGATGTAGCTGTAAGTTTCCCCGCTGCTGAAGTAAAAAAGAAAAGCTGGTTCAATCTTTATTTAGAAAAGCCAAAATACCAGTTTTCAGAAGCAAGATCTTCTGTAGCTATAATTTTTAAATAAACTTCCATATAAGGAAGGAGGTGCTGAGTGATGAGGAGATAATGTTCTCTGAAATAGTTTGCTGGAAATTAATGTTACATGTTAGTTGTAAGAGAGAGTCATTAAGTGTTTGATAGTTTTTGAAAAAATAAGTTACATGTAAGAAATGTTAGGGTAGGGGAACTATACCTTTTTTTTTTATAATTTAAAAGCAGTTTCTCAACTTTGAAATAGAGTTCTCTAATATAACTTGTTTGCTATCCAACCATTCATTGGCTTGTTTCAAAAAGTAGCACTATTACTTTTGGTAATTGTTTGCTTGTATTATAAAAACTGTTTATGTATTGCTATCAACTTAATTAAAATTCCTAGTTAAATGATTGAATTACTTTTCACTTTTCAGTTGGTTGGTTTGATAGAAGCTGGATATAATCTTTGGCCCTTGGTAGAATAAACTGTACTTTGTTTATGCAATCCACTTAATTCTTTGGACATATACCATATTTATTCTGTCAACATTTTCTCAGTAAGCAGAGTTGGTTTAAATGTGGATTGTGTTTTAGTTGATTCATTGGCTGGCTTTTGATGTATCCTTCTTCCAAATAAAAATTCTTTTTAAAAAATTCTCTATTAATTATTTTGTGGGGAGAGAGTTTGGAGTTGTGATTCTGAGAACAAAATCAGTTGCTCTGGGGGTTTGGTTTCATTTGAAAAATTATTTGAGATGTGTTGAAGATTTGTTATATAGAGGATTTATTAGCACCACTATTATTTCTTGAGCTTTAAACAAATTCCTTATAAATGTTTAGCTGTCTTTTAGGCATACAGAAACTTTAGGATTGATAAATTTTGTGACATTACTTTTTCTATCAGTGGGCAACCTTAGAAATGAGTGATTGTTTTATACTGTCAGTTAGCTTTTAGATATCAGTAGCTGAATCATGTCCATGACTTCTAATGCTTTTGTGTTTGTGCAGAGAATTCAGGTCTACTAATTTTACAGCAATTCAGTATTACTAACATGGCAGTTAATTGGCCTTTCACTCATCTTCCATTTTTCTAAACTTGTCAAGAAAGTTTGACATCATTACCTATTACCTAAATGAAACCTATGTGAGTTCTTGAATTCAGTTTAAATAGAATGTTTCCATTGTAAGCCAAAGAAGTCAAGATTTTTCTTAGGAGCTAACTGTATATATTTCAACTATAAAGAACAAGAAAATGGAGATAATTTAGTTCCACTTTAGAGGTGAGCCTTTTAATCAGGGAGGACAGTGTGTGATAGTATTTCTTACTTTTCAATTTTCAAATGAGCTGAACAATGGTAAAATTATAGGCTAAAGTATGTAAATAACTATAATTCAGCTGTTGTTTGTACCAGTCTAAGAGTTATACCTTATAAAATTCATGAAACAGTTACTGATTGAGGTCACCTGCATTCTTTAGAATTGTTGCCATAGGATAGTTCCTTTTTCTTAGTAAACTACAAGAATTGAGCAAAAGAGATCTGTACACTTCACTTTTTCCCCCTACTTATACATTCTAAACTGGAGACCATGGATTATGTCTCAGCCAAACAGCGATAGTACATTTGGAATTCTGGAGATTTGTTTTATATTGCCATATTGAGTTTTAATTTTTGAGGGCCAAGTGATACATTAAATATCACAAGATGTTCATGATGTCATCTCGATCATGTAGGAATCGGCAGTGGGAAACCAAGTGTATACTTTTAGCTTTTAAAAATTCTCTTTTTAAAATTGTGAGTGGTAGGAAAATTGCTAATAGTGTTTTGGTTATTTAATTTTTGACTGCTCTTTTGGTATCCTTAATTCTACATTAATTTGGGTAGCTTTCTTTGAAGTGGTATAATTTTATTGTGATCTTTTGAGTGAGGTGAAAGTTCATGGTATCAGGAGTAGTGTGGTAGAAAGCGTAAAAGTGGGAAAACTGAATAAAGGAGATTTGATTGGAATAAAGGAAGCTTAGAGCAGAATAAGAGATAATAAGTTAGCTGGTCTGGGTAAGCTACTTGAAGATGTTGTGTCAGTGTGAAATAATATGGAACCAAAAAGAAATAATGTAAGGTGCCCTATGGGTGAAAATAATGAAATCAAAGGGCTAAAAATGACAAATGATTTTAGAAATAGCTGTAGGATTAGTTCCAATGGAGAAGAGAGTTCTTCAGTATGATTTAGTAGTGAAGTCTGGGGTCGGACTGTGTCCCCATGGGTTCATATGAGTTCTTATGGGACAAGGATTTGGCAAGGAGGGGATGGCAGAAAGCAGTGTTAGAGTGAACATTAGAAAATTGAAGGGATGATTATTGAAGACTATTTGGTATATGTGCTGAGAAAGGTGATCTGATGGTAAATTTTTCAGGAAAAGGGAATTTTTAATAACAAATGAGGAGGCTAAGGAGTTCAGTCCATGAAACCAGTATCTAAAAAGCTATAGGGCCTTTTAAAAGTTGTTTTTCCTTAAAATGGGAGGAGTTAGTCATTGAGGGTGATGACTTAAGTTTACACAGATTTGTATCTTTAAATGAAAATGGTTGAAAAAAATTGAGCAGCCATAAAGCCATCCTGCTGGTTTGAGTACAGAAAAAGAAAATTAAATAGGCATAAATCTTTATCTCTATGAACCTACTATAGAATTAAACTATTAGGTATATTGAGTACTTACTAGGTATTATTCAAAGGAATTTACATGCTTTTTTATAAAACAAGGAAATAATTTATATGATATCAGCTGAGGTCTGGTTTTGACCTTTCTGAAAGCTAATTTAACTGACCACATAATACATCCTGTTCTGTAACTATGCACATTTTAATAGCAAACAGAAACATAGAAGACATATACTTAAAGAGAAAACAAAAAGAACAGAATGTACACTTGCAGGTGGTGATGTAAGAATTCATAACAACTATATGACTTGACTTCTAGGTTATTTTGTGTGTGTGTGTGTGTGTGTGTGTGTGTGTGTGTGTGTGTGTGTGTGTATGAGAGAGAGAGAAACAGAAAAAGAGAGATAGTATTGTGGTTTTTAGTTTGTTTATACAAATATAAAAGACCTACCTGCTCAGGAAGTACAACTTTTGAGATTTTTGACTAAATGGGATAATTAATGGTAATAGGTTACATCAGAACTTTTTTTTGGTCATGTAAAGAAAATAGAATGTTAAGCTCCCATTTATTACTTTTCTTAGTAATTAGGGCATGACTCCTAACTCACAGCTCTGCTGGATTTTCTAAGCATTATTGATCTTTGCAATGGAACAGAATACTTCCTTTGGTACAATGGGGAGATTTTCTCCAAGATTCTGGTTTGGTAAATCTGCACTCATATAATACACTTCCTTTTCTTAACTTTAAAAAAAAAGCAATTTAATACGCAGTTTTAGCATTACTGGTTTTTGTCTGTGTATGTAAAGTAGAATGCATAAGGAATATCTGGTATCTGTTCATTTTCCTTTAAGTCAATGTTTCCCTGACGTTGACTCTGTAGACCAGTGGTAAACTATGGCAAAGCTTTCACAGGGAACATGGAATGATTATTTCCATAAATCTAAATGTGTTCAATGAAAGAACTCCCTTTAGTCCAAGAGTTTTTCCCTTCTACATTTTTGGTTTTAAAATATATACTTACTTTTTAGGGAAAGATGTTTTTTAACTTGGTGTAATTTGGGGAGCAAATTTTACTTGATTTTGAGATTTAACTGTTTGGAAACCACTGTTTTAAAATCCCTTGACCATAGACTGGAACCTTTTGGTGCTCAGTAGATCAGAGAGACTCTCCTAAACTAAAATGGATAGGAATGTGTGGGTCAGATTCCCTTTTACAATATAGACTTTTTTGGTTAGCTTTTGTTGGGTTGTGCTGTAGTGATAAACAATGCCAAGCTCTCAGTGGCTTTCAGTGTCCACACTTCATTTCTTTCTCCTGGTATGTGTTGCCTGTGGCTTGCTGTAGGTTGGCTGTGCCAGCTGCAGCTCTCCACATGTCTCTCTACTGCGATGCAGTCTGAAGAAGCAGCACCTGTCTAGGATGGGCCATTGTCATGACAGAGGGAAAAAGGAGACATAGCTGAA